GCTAATTTCCCTTTATAAAAACAGAAAATAATTTTTTCTGTATAAGAAATAAATTGAATTCCAAGATTTGGCAAATACTTCGGACAGGTCAAGATCCTTATCGTTGCCCTCTCTTTGAGATTAATTGTGATATGAACACTCCATAACACATCTATATGTATAATATTTAGAAGATTTCAACCATATATATACCGAAGGCGAAGATTATAACGTAATATATGGTACATCAGCACATAGATAAAAAAATCCACGTGATATTAGGTTATTAAATTATCTTAATCTATATATAGTATTGAATCATATAGCTGTTCTGTTCCGTATGCTACTAATTAAAATGTTTTCTTCCATGGACAGTGACCCCATACTCTTATATATACAGATATACTTAATTGGACATAGATATATAGTGTATAAGCGTGTGAAGAATTGATTAAATTAAAATAGAAGAAATGCAATCCCAAGAACTCAGTGCAAGCTGCCCTATTAGATTTATATGTTATGGGTTTAGAGATCATAAACAAATAATTACTTCTTGAAACCAATGTGTATTTGTATCTGCATGCTTGCATGCGTAGTTAACTCTTTTGTTTTGTTTTCTTATTGCACTCAACATTCGTCTTGGGTTTCTCCCTTTCAAACCTAATTTATACTAGTATTATACAATTAGCGACTATGATGGTAGTCTAAAACGACATAATTAGTTAATTCTCGACGTATTCAACATTATATACATATATGTCATACTATCTCAAATGGCTTTTGATATACAGTATATCAATAGTTGATAATTGATCGAAAGTAGATTTCATTTGCTTCTGTTTATGACGGTATAACAGAAGTTTTCTTTAGACACAAGATCGAACTATTTTACTCGGTTAATTTACTTAGTTCACGAGAAGTTAAACCTGAAATAATTCAGTTTTGTTAACATTATAAAAAAATTCATAACATGGCTAAGTTGTTATAAGAGTTAAGGAGCTAGCGATTGGAATATCATATTCAATAATCTATCGCATAAAATAAAATGTTAGACCCATTAAAAAAGAGTTCTCTCTTATATAATACTACAAGGTTATACAGTATATATAATTAAGTTAATCAAATATGGATGCATATTAATTAAGGATGTGTGTAGATAAATTGTGTGTGTAGATAAAGTGCTTCATGGATTACAGATGAAGCACAGGAGAGCAGTAAAAAGGATCATCGCTTTCTAAATCTATCAGACAAAAGTG